TGAATTTAGGGGGTGGGATGGGAACCCAGTCTCATTCAATTTGATGTCCTCTCTGTTGCTTGACGCATACTGGGATTGGTATAAATGCCTGTGAAGTAAACTTCATCTTTATTTGATTTTCATAATGCTTGATGACTCCTCGCACTTAGATACAGTACAAATATAATGGGCTTTGGAATTAGATATTCCTGGGTTTAGGCCCCAGCTCTGCCTTGCTGTGTGATCTCGGGCGAGTTACTTAATCTCTCTGATTCTGTTTCCTCATTTGTGCAATGGGAAATAACTCACAGGATTTTTGTGAGAATTGAATGAGATAACTTAACGATCCACTTAACCTACTGAGCATTCAGTAGGGGCTCAGTAAATGTTAGTTTTCTTCCTTCGTCCTGCTGTAGTCTCATTCATTAGTGGTTCTCAACTCTATCTGCACATTACAATCACCCAGGGAACTTTCAAAAAGCACAGTTGGGCCGGGCGCGGTGGCTCAAGCCTGTAATCCCAGCACTTTGGGAGGCCGAGGCGGGTGGATCACGAGGTCAAGAGATCGAGACCATCCTGGTCAACATGGTGAAACCCCGTCTCTACTAAAAATACAAAAAATTAGCTGGGCATGGTGGCGCGTGCCTGTAGTCCCAGCTACTCAGGAGGCTGAGGCAGGAGAATTGCCTGAACCCAGGAGGCAGAGGTTGCGGTGAGCCGAGATCGCGCCATTGCACTCCAGCCTGGGTAACAAGAGCGAAACTCCGTCACAAAAAAAAAAAAAAAAAAAAAGCACAGTTGTTCAGGCCCCACCCGCTGAGATTTGGATTTAATTGGTCTGTGGTGTGGCTTGAGCATGGGTATTTTTAAAAGGCACCTGTTCAAGTGTGTATTTTTTAAAACGGTAAAATCATGACTACCATACAAGTATAAAATTGGCAAGACAAATATTAATCATCAAAGCTTGCTAATTAATGAGGAAACCAGTAAGATGTTGCAACCAGTCCAAATAATACAAACAACACACACATAGGCGATCAGGAATGCTAAAATGAATTTACACGTGGATGCAAAGTTGGTCAATATCCATACGGCACAAAATGTTTAAAACCACTCCTGGTGCATTGTGTGTGAGTTCAATAAACAGTAGCTGTGATGATCTAAGCCTGCGACTGTGTGTTAAACACGGTGTTAAGTCCTGGGCTGCAAAGATGTGGAGAGCTTGGATTCTCCTGCTGCTCAAGAAGCTCACAGGCTAGAGGGGTAGAAGGAGACTCAGTAGCTCATGCTCAGGCCTCGCAGTAAGTGCAGGAGGACTACGGGCACACACAGGAGGGGCGAGGGGTTGGAGAACAGGATGTTCAGGGAGCTGAGGCTCCAAGCCTTGGGAATGGGTGCATGTGGGGGGCCCATTCGGAGGCTGCCCTGGAAGTCAAGGTGAGAAAGTGATGAGGCTGGACCAAGGCCACAGCAGAGGAAGAGATTTAGCAGATGAGATTGATGGGAGCATGAGACTGACTCGCCAAGGGAGTGATGGACAAGAAGATGCCAAATCTAGTGCTCCTCAGATGACTCCTCTCCTGCTTAAATTCTTAATTTGAGCAGGAGAGGAGAATGCAGGAACTCTCTAGTGAGTCGGAGTCTTTCTCTGTCGCCCAGGCTGGAGTGCAGTGGTGTCATCTCAGCTTGCCGCAAACTCCACCTCCTGGGTTTAAGCAATTCTCCTGCCTTAGCCTCCTGAATATCTGGTACTGTAGGTGTGTGCCATCAAGCCCAGCTCATTTTTTGTATTTTTTTTAGTAGAGATGGGGTTTCATCGTGTTGGCCAGGCTGGTCTCAAACTCCTGACCTTGATCTGCCACCTCAGCTTCCCGTAGTGTTGGGATTACGGGCGTGAGCCACCGCGACCGGCCCCTTTGGAAGTTTTTAACTTAATCCAGGGTAGGAGGGACACTCAGGGTAAGCCCCAGGTAACCCAGGGCCCCGCTTACCACACGTATGAGGGGCCCATGTGCTGGCATTTTCCTGGACTGCAGAGCCCCATTAAGGAAGATTGACACTCTGACACTCAGGATTATTAAGAAGGATTAACAGTCCATTTGAAATATTTTGCTTTGCACCTGGCTGTCATACTAACTTTGAGTCTCCGGTAAATATTGTAAGTAACAGAGCCCCTGCCTTCATGGAGCATACAGTGTGGTGGGTTTTTTGTTCTTTTGTTTGTTTTGTTTTTAGAGACATGGTCTCTATTGCCCAGGCTGGACTGCAGTAGTGTGATCAAAGCTCACTGCAGCGTCACCCTCCTGGGCTCAATGATTCCCCCCACCTCAGCCTTCTGACCCCAGCTGCATGCTACCATGACTAGCTCATTTTTTTTTTTTTTTTGAGACAGAGTCTTGCTCTTGTCACCCAGGCTGGAGTGCCCTCCTCGGCCTCCCAAAGTGCTGAGATTACAAGCGTGAGCCACCGCGCCTGGCCATTTTTTGTTTTTTAATTGTGGAAAAAGAGCACATAGCATAAACTTTTACATCATAACTATTTATTTATGTATTTAGAGACAGAGTCTCATTCTGTCACCAGGCTGGAGTGCAGTGGCACAATCTTGGTTTACTGTCACCTCTGCCTCCCAGGTTCAAGTGATTCTCCTGCCTCAGCATCCTGAGTAGCTGGGATTACAGGCACACACCACCACGCCCAGCTCATTTTTGTATTTTTAGTAGAGACAGGGTTTCACCATGTTGGCCAGGATGGTCTCGATCTCCTGACCTCACTATCCCCCTGCCTCTGCCTCCCAAAGTGCTGGGATTACAGACATGAGCCACCGTGCCTGGCTGCATCATAACCATTTTTAAGTGTATACAGTTCAGTAGAGTTACTAATGTATTTGTATCGTTGTAAAACAGGTCTCTAGAAAATTTTCATCTTGCAAAACTGAAACCCTATACCCATTAAACAATTCCCCTAAGCCCCTCCACCCTGCCCCTGGGCACTGCCAATCTACTTTCTGCGTCAATGAATTTGTCCACTTTAGCTACCTCCTATAAGTGGACTCATACATGATCTGTCCTACTGTGACTGGCTGATTTCACTTAACATAATGTCCTCAAGGTTCATCCGTGTTGTAGCACATGACAGGATTGCCCTCCTTTTCTTCAGGCTGAATGATAGTCTATTGTAAATGCAGTGGTTTTAAACTTCACCTCTTAGCCCCTCGCCCCCTTCTGAAACAAAAATTTTGCTCAACATGTCTACTGTATGGAGCAGATATAAAGGAGAGCTGCTTTGATGGAATGGTTGGCCTGGAATCATGCCCACTCTGCCCTTCTCTGTGGCCTATGGAGCCTCCGAGGAACTTGGATTCCAGTGGACTACCACCCAGTCCGGTGCTTCTCAAAGTGGAGTCCCAAGACCCACAGCATCAGCATCACCTAAGGACTTTTAAAATGCAGAGTCACAGGCTCCACTCTAGACCTACTGAGTCAGAGCCTCTGGAGAGAGGCTCTCCACAATCTGTATTTTGCCAAGTCTTCTAGGTGATTCTGATGCCCAAAGATGGGGAGTGACTTGGCCTAAAGTCATTTGTGAAGTTGACTGAGATTCAATTATTGAGTGCCTATTATGTACAAAACTCTAGAATATCAGCTGTAAGGGAAACCAAGACAATTAAGTCTCTGAATTAGTTAGCTATTGCTGAGGAACAAATAATCCCAAGGTTTAGTGGTTTAAACAGCAGGCAGGAATCTGAGTGCAGCTTTGCTGGGTCCTCCGGCTTAGGGTCTCTCACAAGGTCAAGATGAGGGTGTTGTCTGGCTTTTCAATCATCTCAGCGTTCCACTGGGCAAGATTTGCTTGCCGACTCACCCAGTGGTCGTTGGCAGGATCTCATTCTTTTTTTTTCTTCAGCTTTGGGAAGAGGGGTTTAAACCATGGTACCCAGGCTGGAGTGCAATGGCGCGATCTCGGCTCACCGCAACCTCCGCCTCCTGGGTTCAGGCAATTCTCCTGCCTCAGCCTCCTGAGTAGCTGGGATTACAGGCACGCGCCACCATGCCCAGCTAATGTTTTTTGTATTTTTAGTAGAGTTGGGGTTTCACCATGTTGACCAGGATGGTCTCGATCTCTTGACCTCGTGATCCACCCGCCTCGGCCTCCCAAAGTGCTGGGATTACAGGCTTGAGCCGCCGCGCCCGGCCTGGCAGGATCTCATTCTTATGGATGGGTGGACGGACAGCCACTGCTCATCACGGTTGCTAGCCCTCCCTTCCTCGCCACCCTGTTCATCAGGCAGCTCACAACAGAGCAGCTGGTTTTATCAGAGTGGGCAAGCAAGACGGAGCAAGAGAGGGTGCCCAGAGAGAAGTCATGCCTGTTTATAGCATAACCTTGGAAGTGACATCCTATGACTTGTGTGATATTCTGTTCAGTACAAGAGTGTCACTAGGTCCAGCCCATGTTCAAGAGGAGGTGATTACAAAGGGCATGAATACAAAAAGGTGGGGATCTTTTAGGAGGTGGCCTCCTACAGTTCCTGCCTCTGCCCTTGTGTTTGCAATTGGAGAATTGAATAACTACACCCCTAATTGTGGAATCAGTTCTCAGAACGGTGGTCATGGAGTGGGCACAAGTTTGGTGGGGGCTCAGAGAAATAAAACTCTCTGGTTGGAGAAATCGAGAAGGCTTCCTGGAGGAGGTGGCATTTACGCTAGGCCTTAAAGGAATGAGGATATGCCACTGGCAGAGACGGGGAGGCCAGGTGAAGGAAAGGACCTGCTCAGGTCAGCTTGCATGGATATGGGGAGAAGTTGTGTGGGTTGGAGCCATCCTGAACATGGCTTCCACTGTCAGATGGAAGAACTCATACCTTAATTGGGAGGGGATGGAGGCCAGGAGTCCGGAGAGGCAGGGCTTTCATAACTGCCAGAACCAGGACTAAGGGGCCCTGAGCTCAGTGCTCTCCCCTGCCCCACCAGTCCCACCACACCAGCCCCGCCCTGAGGTTCACACTCCATCTTCTCTTGCAGTTCGGGCGCACAGAAGTCATCGACAACACGCTCAATCCCGACTTCGTGCGCAAGTTCATCGTGGATTACTTCTTTGAGGAGAAGCAGAACCTCCGTTTTGATCTGTAAGTGGAAGATGGTGCTGAAGACGCAGCCACGTGGGGAGGAAGACTGCTGGGAGGTGGGACCACAGGCCTGCGGTTGAGGGAGGTGGGAGGAGCTGAGATAGTGGCAGGAGCCCAGGGTTGGCCTGGGCCAGATGTGATAATGAGCTGAAGTCCACCTGCACCCTTACCAGGAGAGATGGAAAGGGGGAGGAAGAGAGAGAACAATGACCCTCCCCCAGTTTGTCTCAGTTAAGTTGGCCATTGGGCAAGCTGCTTGGTGCTGGGGGATGTCCAATGAAGAAAGATCCTGAAGGCAACTCTTGGCTGTGCCCCTGGAAGCCCTTTTCTCCCCTAGTGACAGGGAGGTACCCACTGACTGCTTCCTCTGTCCAAGCGTGTTCTGTGAGAGGGTCCCCTGCAGCCTCCCCTCCTGCTGAGGTGGCCTGGCTGATGGGCCTCAGGCATCTGGCATCCATCAGAAGATGAGTCCCCTTCTCCTGACACTGAAGATCAGGGTGGGATTTCAGGCTTGGCGAACAGGCAGGGGGGTTTGTGGTGTCGTTTTTATGGGGTATGGAATGGTTTAAAAAGTCTTTGCCCCACAGAGAGTGGTCAGAGTGGGAAAGAAGGGGCTTTGGGAAGTTAGAGAGCAAAGGAAGGAATGCAGTGGAAGGAAATGGCTTTGGAGGGAGAGATGGGAGGACTTGAGGCTGAGGAGAGTCAGCACAGTCCACTGTAGGGACATCACCTGGTGACATTTTGGAGAGGGCTGATAAGAGAGTGACCAAGCCTCAGCAGGAGTCATCTGGGCCTGGCATGGCTGTTTGGCTGCGGAGATGCCAGGGGGTGGGTGGGAGATGCTGGGGGAAGGTTGCGGGCGAGGCTCCAGGTGAGCAGGCCCCAGGTGAGGGGAGGAGCCCAGCTGCAGCATCACCCTGCCTGCAGCCGGCTGAGGTGACGATGTTAATGCCTCCCTCCTTCTTGAGTGACCAAGCCCAAGGGCAAGATGGGCAGGCCTGGGTGAGGTGAGGCCATAAGGGAAGGTCAGAAGCCAGGTATTAGCTCCATGGGCAGCCAAGCCTCGGCGGCAAAGAGCAAAGATGGGGAACTCTGCAAGTGAAGGGAGTGAAAGGTAAGGCGGCTCAGCCACCTGTGACCCAGCCGGGGTGACGGAGCTCACTGATTTAATTTTTTCCATTTTTAATGAGGTATAACATATGTACAGTGAAATGCATACATTTTAGTTCCTACTCCATGATCCTTTTTTTTTTTTTTTTTTTTGAGATGGAGTTTCGCTCTTGTTACCCAGGCTGGAGTGCAATGGCGCAATCTCGGCTCACCGCAACCTCCGCCTCCTGGGTTCAGGCAATTCTCCTGCCTCAACCTCCTCGGTAGCTGGGATTACAGGCACGCGCCACCATGCCCAGCTAATGTTTTTTGTATTTTTAGTAGAGTTAGGGTTTCACCATGTTGACCAGGATGGTCTCGATCTCTTGACCTCGTGATCCACCCGCCTTGGCGTCCCAAAGTGCTGGGATTACAGGCGTGAGCCACCGTGCCCGGCTCCATGATCCATTTTTACATCCATTTCCACCCCTCTGCCCATCACCCAGACCAAGGACAGAACATGTCCAGCACCCAGAAGGCTCCCTTTCATGTCCTCCAGCCATTACTCCTAGAAATAGTCACTGCATTGCGACCTGTGTTTGGGGGGACAGGGGCCCTGACTCAGCTTGGGAACGCAGGCAGGGTTGGGAGGAACACCGCAGCTGCCTTCCTCATTTCTCTGTGTTCCCTGCAGATACGACGTTGACTCTAAGAGTCCTGATTTATCCAAACACGTGAGTTCTGCCAGTGACTGCTCAGCAATTCCGTGGTTTCTGAAATGCCATCCTCTGGTTGGGCCAGGGGCTTTGCTGTGATGGAATGTGTGTCTGATGCTGTGTCCTGTCATTTTGGGGCCCTCACGCTTCCAGGGGTTGGGCAGTGGGGGAGGTGGGGTAGCTGTGAGCAGAACGAGTGACACTGATCTCTTCTGTTCGCTGGATATGCAGGATTTCCTGGGCCAGGCCTTCTGCACGCTTGGAGAGATTGTAGGGTCCCCTGGGAGCCGCCTGGAGAAGCCTCTCACGTGAGTGTTTGGGTTGCTTTCCCAGGGGGAGGCCAACTTCCTGCCCACTCTGCTGGGGGCTGACTCAGGGTGGGGGCAAAGCAGTCAGCTGACTATGACTGGCATCTGCAGGGTTATCAGGAATAAGGAGACCCCATGCCTCCTGCTCTCACCATGGGGCTTCTAACCCAGGTATATCAGGGGAACCCGGGCTAGGTTATTAGACCCCATACTCCTGGGAGGGCCCAAGACACCATCTAGTCTATTCTCATGCTGACCCCTATCATAGTGCCCAGAGAGGGGAAGTGACTTGCCCAAGGACACAGAGCTAGAAGTGGGAGAGCTGGGATTTGAACCCAGGGCTCTACTCACATAGCATATTCCTAAAATTGTTCACAGCTTGTAGGCCAGAGCTGGGTACAATGAGGCCCCTCCCCTCCCATCCTGTCCCTGACAGTCTGCATTATAGGACCTTAGTTTGCTTTTAGGGAAAGGCTGTTACTCTGAAGCAGGCTCTGGAATGAGGAATCCCAAGGCTTCACAATGTAGAGCCTGAGGGTGTCTTCAGGGGTCAGCCACGGCTGGCTAGGTGTTGAGGGTGGCCTCTCTTGTCCCTATTTCTCAGGAAGTCCCAGAGGCAGGACCCTTGCCCTTGCCTGTATAAACGATTCCGGCCTTTCCCCACACTGGCGAACACTGGTCACCATTCTTTGCTGTCCATGTTTCTCTGGATGGCCACCCTCGCACTTTGCATTTAAATAAACTAATTTAACTGGATCCTGAGCCTTTTGATTGTTTTAGATTGACACTCATGGGCAGGACCCAGGAAAGAGAGGCCTGCAGACTGGGACAGGCATCCTGGCCACAGGGCAGAGAGGCCAGAAAAGGGAGCTCACTAGCCCCTCGATTGCTTCTGCCAAGTTCCCACTGGACGCTGTCCCCTCACCATGACCAATTACTGCAGTGTGAACCGGGCACGGTGGCTCACGCCTGTAATCCCAGCACTTTCGGGGAGGCCAAGGCGGACAGATTGCCTGAGCTCAGGAGTTCAAGACCGGCCTGGCCGACATGGTGAAACCCTGTCTCTACTAAAAATACAAAAAAATTAGCCAGGTGTGGTGGTGCACACCTGTAGTCCCAGCTACTTGGGAGGCTGAGGCATGAGAATCACTTGAACCCAGGAGGTTGCAATGAGCTGAGATTGCACTACTGTACTCCAGCCTGGGCAACAGAGTGAGACTGTCTACTAATAATAACTGCAGTGTGTGAGTGTGAGTGTGAGTGTGTGTGTGTGTGAGTGTGTGTGTGTGTGTGTGTGTGTGTGTGTTTTCTCTTCCAGATCCTTGCCCGTGACCTCCCAGTAACTCGTGTTAACTTCAAAGCCCTTGGAAATGTCTCCTTGCCCCCGAAAAGGTCTCATTTCTGGATTCCTAGAAAATAATGAAAACAGCTGTCATTTATTGAGAACAAGGGGAAAATTCCTGTTTGGGGGTCCTCTGTAGCTGGTAGAATTTGAGGGCCTCTTGAAAAAAAAGATACAAAATTTACGTTCATATTTGCTAGGCCCCTCCCTCTTAGGACATATTTTTAACACTTTTTATTTGTCATTTTATATTCTTTCTCTAGGAACATCTGCCCCTATGCCCACTTCAGTGTTAGCCACATGCTAAGTACGACACACCCATTAGCATCCGCTCTTTCCAGCAGCACTCCCACCCATGGCTTTGCCTGAATTGCCAGGTTGGAGATGCCCTGAGAGGAAGGTGTCTGTGCTTCCCAATTCCCAGCTGCCTGGGTCTAAAGCCACTAGTCATTGGGTCTGTTTCCTGACTGCTGTCACCTGCTCCGCCATTGGTGACAGGGAGTACCTTCTAGGGGTGGGGGAGTATTGACAGAGATTTCCTATGGAGATGGCTTTTGAAATAGCCTTAAAGGACAAGCAAGATCTAAAATACAGAGGTTGGCGGGACATGGTGGCTTATGCCTATAATCCCAGCACTTTGGGAGGCCGAAGTGGGCGGATCCCCTGAGGTCAGGAGTTTGAGACCAGCCTGGCCAACATGGCGAAACCCCATCTCTACTAAAAATACAAAAATTAGCCTGGCATGGTGGCGCATGCCTGCAGTCCCAGCTACTAGGGAGGCTGAGGCAGGACAATCGCTTGAACCCGGGAGGTGGAGGTTGCAGTGAGCTGAGATCACACCAATGCACTCTAGCCTGGGCGACAGAACCAGACTCCATCTCAAAAATTAAATTAAATTAAATTAAATACAGAGGTTGATGGCAATGTTGGAGGAGGAGGTGGACCTTTTACCCGAATCGAAGGTTTCATGTGCCTAAGTGTAGTTGTCTTCCTGCCTAAACCCTGTGAGCAGCTCCTGTTTATTGAGCATGTATTTTGGGCCAGGCATGAGGGCCAGTGGTGTTTTGCTTGTGCTAGTTTGCTGGGGCCATTGTGGCAAATATCACAAACTGAGTGGCTTAAATAACAGAAATTTATTTTCTCACAATTCTGGAGGCTAGGCGTCGAAGATTAAGTTGTCAACAGAGTTTGTTTCTTCTGAGGAAGGCTGTCTTCTTTCTTGTCCCTGTGTCTTCACGTTGCCATCTCTCTGTGCACATCTGTGTCCTCATCACCTCTTCTTGTAAGGATACCAGTCATTGGATTAGGGCCCACTGCCGTAACCTCATTTTACCTTTTTTTTTTTTTTTGAGGTGGAGTCTTGCTCTGTTGCCCAGACTGGAGTGCAATGGCACAATCTCAGCTCACCACAACCTCCGCCTCCTGGGTTGAAGCAATTCTCCTGCCTCAGCCTCTCCGCCCAGCTAATTTTGTGTTTTTAGTAGAGACGGAGTTTCTCCATGTTGGTCAGGCTGGTCTCAAACTCCCTACCTCAGGTGACCTGCCTGCCTCGGCCTCCCAAAGTGCTGGGATTACAGCCGTGAGCCACCGCACCTGGCCTCATTTTACCTTAATTACCTCCTTAGAGACCCTAACCCCCAATACAGTCACCTTCTGAGGTCCTGGAGATTAAGATTTCAATACACGAATTTTGGGGGATACAGTTCAGCCCATACCATGATCTCATGTGATTCTTCCAGCAGTCTCCCCATCTCACACTCTGGATGGGGAGGCTGGAAAGGGAGAGCCGGGGTTCCCAAAGTGCAGCAGGCACCAGCGTCACCGCAGATTGCTGGGCTCCACCCTGCAGAGTGTCTGCTCCTGTGGGTACGTGGGTCTGGGCTGGGCCTGGGAATTTACATTCCTATTAGTAACACATTCCCAGGACATGCTGGTGCTGCTGGTCTGGGCATCCCACCTTGAGAACCACTGAGGGAGAGGAGCTTGCCCAGAAGAAGGACCACGCTTGCTCTGGCGGGTGGCTTTGATCCTGTTTGAATGACTTCCGGAGCAGCGGTTTGTCTCCAAGCATCTGGATGCCAAGTGCTCTGGCCTGTCTGCATGGGGGTGCCCAGCTCATGGCATGCTCTCTCTGCCCCTCTCTCTCCGCAGGATAGGCGCATTCAGCCTGAATTCCAGGACGGGCAAACCCATGCCAGCCGTGTCCAATGGGTAGGTCACCAGATATCTCTGCCCTGGAGTCCTTAGACATTCAGCCAGCTCTGCAAAGGGGGCCTCAGAGTCTGGGCCTCATCCCTGCTCCCACCACTGTGAATTTTACCCCAATCCGGGGACATAGAGTCCTGGGTTCCTCCTTAGGCACCCAGGTGCTTTGGGCCCTGGAATGAGCCCCCTACTCAGCAGCTGGCCCCTCCCCCATCCCAGTTAGAGCTTGGGCATCTCAAGCCCCAGTGCCTCCTGGGACTTCAGGGAGCAGGGTGAGGCTTACAGGTGGGGGATGTTTTCTAGGAATCAGCGGGGCTGGGCACTCTCCGTTCCCTTCCTCTTTCCCTGGCCTGGCTTCTCTCAGCCCCAACCCCCACCCTTCTCTCCCCCTCTTTCCTCCCCTCTCTTTATCCACTCCCCTCTGTTCCCCTCCCTTGTTTTGGCTGCTGGATGTCCGCCTCCTCCTCATCACAGAGTAGATCCAGCTGAATCCCCACTTTTCACGTTTGCTCGTTTGCTCGCCAGCTGCGGTGGGCCAGCCTCGCTGCGCCACCCAGATCATCTGGTTTTGGTTGCCCTCATGCAAATGTGGGCAACGCAGAGCCTCCCCTCCTTCCCTCTCCTTCTTTCCTGGTTGCGGAGTTCCCACCCCGGCTTCTTTCTCACGCCCACTCGCCCACTTGGGCTGGGGGTGGGGGAATGCAGGGCAGGGAGCCTCTGCCTGGAGGGGCCTCTGCAGATGGGCATTTTGTTGGGGTCCGCAGAGCTCCCCTGGCCTTTCCTGAGGGCTCTCAGGAACTGCGGCTGCAGCAGCTGGCTCTGCCCCTGGACCAGCTGCAGGTGGGGAAGGGGCCTGCAGGGGGCCGGGAGAACGTGGATGCCAATTCACCCGGAGAGTAGAGAAGCAGCAACTGGGGAGGCAGCCGGAGTCAGACAGAGATGCAGAGACAGGCAGGGAGAAAGAGAAAGGGAGGCCAAGCAGGTGGGAGCAGGTTGGGGCTGGAGAGGAGGGAAAGAAGGATCGGAAATAGAAGAAGGACTCAGAGGCAAAGAGAGGAACAGATGGAGAAGCACAGGGCGGAGGAGGCCGGCGTGGAGGATTCTATCTCCTGGGCAAACAAATCATGTCTTTACTACCAGGGAGGACCAGACCAGGGGGTGGGGAAAAGCTTTGAGGCACTCAGCTCAGCTGCCCAAGTCTAGGGGGACAAGCTGGCAGGCACTGTCCCCTGTGCGTGGCAGCGGATGCCCCAGATGTGGCCCCTGCTCTGCTCACCTCGTTTGGAGAGCTCTGGGCTGTCCCGTCAGTCCCCCAGGGCTGGCTCCCCTTCCTCCCCTGCCTCCTCTGTTTGAGAGCCTCTCCCACCAAGAGCTGGTGCTGGGAAGAGCTCCATCAGTGGTTCTCAAAGTGTGTTCCCCAGACAGAATGCTGGTGGCCCTGGGGCTGGCCTGAGGTGTCAAGCTGGATTTTACCAGCGTTGCACAATTGTGAAGCCAAGGGTGTGGGAAGGGGATGCTGCTCACTGTGGGCCTTCTCCGTGCCAAGCGCTGTGTGTGTATATTAGTAAAGTGGATGCTACAGTCACACTCATTATACGGGGGAGAAAACGGAGGCTCAGAGAGGTATAGGAACGAGCCCAAAGTCACAGAGCTGCTGGACAACCCATTTTCCTCTCCCTCCCAGTGGCCCCTGGCTATCCTGGGACTCCCCCACCTCTGGCTTAGTCCCAAACATCAGAGTGGGCCGGGCTGGTGCCTGAAGGAGGGGTCCCATCTAACCAGGGGAAGAGGTGATTCAGGTCCCCTGGGTGGAGCCCCAGCCCAGAGTTTTGCCCTCCTGGAGGGATGTGCTGGGGTGGACTGACTTCACGGACCTTGACCTGGTTGCCCATTTCTCTGGGGAGCTGTACAGTCGGCTGGGATCTCTCACCCCAAGGGAGACCCCAGCCAAGGCATTCAAGGGGAGGTAGCCATGGGAGAGAGCCTGGGCAAGCTGCCAGTGAGGGTCCACCAGCCCTCCTGCCTTCCTCCCTCCCGTGACATATCAGAGCGGCTCAGAGCTGGACTATCCCGGGGCTCTGGGGGTCAGCCGTGTGTGAGGTGGGGTGGCTAGCCCATGAGGTCTTTTGCCCACAGAAGTGGTCTTTGGATGGAAAGTTTGAGAACCACTGGTCTGGAAGCCTCCGGGTGAGTCTGGATGCTTTTCCGATTCTAGGACTTTCACTGCAGGCACGACCCTTCCTGGTGGGCTCTCGGGGAGCAGGGGGTGGGGCAGCTCCAGGTCTGGGGACCTGGCCCCAGGAAGCAGTGCACGAGGCCACACTGCCACAAGGATTTCAGGAGACTCTGTCTTCTCAGGGACATTGGGGCAGGTCTGCTGGATGGTAGGGGGAGGGGGTGGATGGGCAGGGGGCTGACTGAGGGAGTGTTCAGGTTTATGGCTCTGTCTTTGTCTGGCTTTCCATTCTTTCATCTTCTCCTCTCCCAGTGGAGTCCCAGGGAAGAAATGTGGCACCATCATCCTGTCCGCTGAGGAGCTCAGCAACTGTAGGGTGAGTGGCAGAGGACTCCGGCGCAGGACGAGGTCGAAGTGGGCGGTGATGGCAGTGACAGAGTGCGGGCTGGCCTCCCTGAGACCCTGGAGGGAACTGAGGATAGACAGGGCTCCTGATGCTGACCTGGCTGTCACAGAATTCTACAACATCAGAGCTAGTGGGTGTTTTCCCTTTTTATAGCTGAGCAGACTGAGGCCCGGAGAGGAGAAGGAACTCACCCACAGTCAGCAGCAGAGCCCAGCTGAGCCCGGTCCCCTGGCTCCCATGCCAGGCCTCCCTCCCTCCCCGCCATCACAGCCGCCACTCACGTGTCCTTCAGCCGAGACTGCCTTGGCACCAACACTGTGGCAGCAAAGGGACCTTTTCAGCCTTGAAGGGAGCCTGGGTGCTTGACATTTAGCTGTCATTTTTCACTTTCATCTCTGGAGTCGGCTGACACCGTGCACGGAGTGGATGGAGAGAGTGTGTGTGTGCGTGCACATGCGTGTGTTGGAAGAAGTCTGCAGTCCCAGGCAGCCCTTGGTTTGCTTCTTCTGTAGGACTGTGGGGGTGCAGGAGATGGGGACAGCTGAGTACATCAAGAAGGGGCTCAGGGGACCTCATGGTCAATCATAATGATAAAGGATCATAATGGTGATGATCAGTATTTGTCGAATAATGGGCACTTTACGGAAGTTATCACTGCTCCTGACAATCATCCTGAGAGGTGGGTACTGAAATGTTGCTCCCATTCTATGGCTGAGGAAATTGAGGCTCAGAGAGGCAACATCCACTGCTCAAGGATGAGAAGCAGCAAAGTCATGATTCTAATCCAGGTCAGCCTGATTCTAAGATCTGGGCTTAGCCCCGAAACCACCACTATCTAACCTAACAGTGACTCTTAGGTTAAATGGGGGATACAGCGGGGAAAGTGCTAGGGCTTGGGAAGGAGAGGAAGAGGCTGGGTTCAAGCGTAAACAGAGCCTGGGCTACAGCTTCCCATGGGGCTGGGAGGGGTGACCAGGAGAAACAAGATTTTCCTACCTTCCTGGGAGGTCAGTGCTACGGATCAGCTATTGATCAATATTTACCATACTAGAAATTGAAACAGAATTTTTAAAAATGCATGTATTAATTCCTTTAATAATAACAATAGTTGAACCCATTATGGGTCAACATAATTCACAGCTATTTTGAAAAACAATAACTCACAGTAGTCATTTAGTGAGAAGAGTGGCCTTGTTTTACATTTTTGCAAATCTCTTTAATGTGTGACTTCATGGAAGACATCTGGATTCTCATAGCTGCTTCTGTAGTCAATCTGTTGTGAAATCTCTGTCAGATAACCTCCGGAAAACTCTTCATCTTAGCGTCATGATGAAAATGGTTTTGGCCAGGCGCGGTGGCTCACGCCTGTAATCCTAGCACTTTGGGAGGCCGAGGCAGGTGGATCATGAGGTCAGGACTTCAAGACTAGCCTGGCCAAGATGATTAAACCCCATCTCTACTAAAATTACAAAAAAAAAATGAGTTGGGTGTGGTGGCACATACCTGTAATCCCAGATACTTGGGAGGTGGAGGCAGAGAATTACTTGAACCCAGGAGGCGGAGGTTGCAGTGAGCTGAGATCAAGGCACTGCACTTGAGCCTGGGCGACAGAGAGAGACTGTCTCAAAAAAAAAAAAAAAAGAAAAGAAAATAGTTTTGAGCCCCACAAATCCCCTGGGGCTCCAGGTCCATACTTTGAGAACTGCAGGTATAGAGATATAATAGTGTTAGAGAACATTAATTGAGTCATTATTTTGTGCTAAGTGGCTTACATGTATTGACTTAATTATCTGATGTATTATAATATATAATGTAGTATGATGTGTTATAATATCTGATGAATGACGGTCCTCATTAATTTTCCTCACTTTTATAGATAAGGAAACTGGGGCACAGAGAGGTTAAGTGACCTGTACAGGGTCACACAGTCATTGAGTAGAAGAGATCTGACACTGCACAATTTGGTTCTAAGAACCAAGGTCTTCCACCAGTGGGCTGTGGTGTTACAAACTCTGTTTTCAAAGGCTTCCAGTGGAAGAATAAGACACGAGAACACAGACGCGGTAGGACAGGGCAGCATAGAGATGACCAGAGAAATTCATATGCAGCTGCTCATTCTGGTTGCTCTGCTCATCCACGTATCTCAGTGGATCTGAAGGCACTTGACAGCGGGAATGAACCCCACCCAGTGTGCACGCCCAGGGCAGGACTCGGGGTGCAGGAGGTGCGCCCGAGGACCTATCACGAATAGGTGACTGAATGTGTAGGAAGCACAGACCGAGCGTTCAGCACCAGGTGATGAAGAAAACCACACCTGGGTCGGCTGAGGATCTGGACACCACTGGGGTTCAGACAAGGGAGGGAAGTCAGTTGCCCCGTGGAACAGAGCTGGTGCGGCCCCCAGAGCCTCGTTTTCCACCTGTAGCTTAGTGCTGATAGGGTGGCGGTAAGAATTAAAGGCGTTCATGAACGTGAGTGTGGCTAACAGATGCCTAGGAAAGGCTGCATCTGAATTCCTTGAACCTAAACTCAGTGTTTCCCCAAGCTTCTAGCCCAGCTGGTGACTTCCCCCCTAGTTTATGACTAAATAAAGTCATAGAGGTGAAAGCGCTTTGAAAATTCTAACACTCTAGACAATGCGGATGGCCGTTACTGGTCCAGCATTCCAGGGGTTGGTAAGCAGTCTTCGGTTTAATACCTTTCAGGTGTTAAACCCTCCCTCTTCCTCCTTCTTCCCCAACCCTCCCTACTCCTTCACCCAGGGATGGCAGCAGTTTCCTTGATTTAAGCTCTTCCAGCACCAGGGGTCTATGTCGGGGGCAGAGAGCCCCTTCCCGTCCTCCTGAGATTGTCAGCTCCTTTTCTTCTGGGGCATCTTTAGCTGAGTTCTGTCTCTCCCTAGAATCCTTGCGAGGAAAAGAGACTAATTCCCAGCATCTGGCTGAATTAAAATAATTACATCAGAACAGCTTTGCTTCGTCTTTCCAGCTCAGCATTCAGTGGGAGGATCAAAGGAAGAGGGTGGGGTCTGAGAGCTGATTTTTCACCAGAGCAGGGCTTCCTGCTCAAATGAATACATTTTGCGAAGTAGACAAACCCTCTCTCCATCCATGGGGACAGTGTGGGCGGGTGGGAACCAGCAAAGGATTGGAGTGGACTCCAGCCTATCACCAGCACAGTGTGACAGGTTATGGAAAAGCCTGGTTCATCTGGAATTTAAATGCCAAGGAAGTTCCCACAATCAGAATTTGATCCAAATACTATTGGATGGTACCTGATATTGACCGTGATGAGGTTGGTCTCCCAAAGGGCCTTCTGAATCACTCAAGGTTCAATTCTGCTCAGCAGTAAAACGATTGTTCCTGCCGTAACACTGGCCAACATTTGTTTACCAAGACTCTCTTATTTAGACTTATTTGATTCTGACCGCAGGGCTTGGGGGCTGGGGGACTGGGTGGGTGTGAGTGATCCTGTTTTACGGATGCGGAGAAGTTAGTGGCCTGCCTAAGATTGCTGGGATTCTATCTCAGGCCTTGGACTCCCTATCCTCAGAGTCTTTCCCTCACCCATGGAGCCTTGGGCCCTCACGGTGCAGGGAACAGTCACCGACCTTCTATTCCTTGTGGGGCCCAGTTGCCCTCAGCAGGCAGGCTGGCTTTGAGCAGTGGAGGCTGGGGTTCACGCCCGCAATCTCAGCACTTTGAGAGGCTGAGCAAGGGAGGAGAATAGCTTGAACTCAAGAGCTGAGACCAGCCTGGACATCACAGAGAGAACCCCCGCCCCCCACGACCATCTCTACAAAAAAAATTTTTTTTGAGGCAGAGTCTTGCTCTGTCATGCAGGCTGGAGTGCATGATCTAGGCTCGCTGTAGCTTCTGCCTTCTGGGTCCAAGCAATTCGACTGTCCCAGCCTCCTGACTAGCTGGGATTACAGGCACCTGCCACCACACCCACCTAATTTTTGTATGTTTAGTAGAGATGGGGTTTCACCATGTTGGTCAGGATGGTCTCAATCTCTTGACCTCAGGTGATCCTCCCGCCTCAGCCTCCCAAAGCATTAGGATTACAGACATGAGCTACTGCACCCAGCTGTACAAAAATATTTTAAAAATTAGCAGAGCAGGGTGGTACATGTCTGTGGTCCCAGCTACTCAGGAGGCTGGGGCAGGAGAATCACTTGAGCTTGGGAGGTCAACGCCACAGTGAGCCATGACTGGACCACTGCACTGAAGCCTGGGGACAGAGTGAGACCGCGTCTCAAAAAAAAAAAAAAGAAAAGAAAAAGAAAAGTAGAGGTTGTCGTCGATACAGAGGGTTAGATAGCTCTTCGCCCTCCACTTCCCAGCCCCTGTGTCCCCTTAGACCTGTCAGCCACCAGACCTGCCTTGCTCTGGAGTCTGCGTCCTTCCCACCTCCTAGTCAGGTCCCTCCACATGACTGGCTGGCCCAGCCAGGATGGTGGTGGCGGTCATGGAGGAGGCAGTGATGGAGGAGGAAGGGTGTGCCTCATCTCTCTCAAGCAAAGAGAGTTGGAACTTCACACCATACTGGCCCTGGGGCCCTCCCCACCCCTTAGATGTCACCAGCTGGCTCATGTATTCATTCATTTCAGTTCAGAAAATGTGCTTTGACTGAGTTCCTGCTCTCAGAATTTTTTTTCTTTCTTGAGATAGAGTCTCACTTGTCGCCTGGGCTGGAGTGCAGTGGCTCAATCTCAGCTCACTGCAACATCTGCCTCCTGGGTTCAAGCAATTCTCCTGCCTCAGCCTCCTGAATGGCTGGGACTACAGACACCCGCCATCACAGCCGGCTCATTTTTGTATTTTTAGTAGAGACGGGGTTTCACCATTTTGGCCTGGTTGGTCTCAAACTCCTGACTTTGGAATCCACCTGCCTCAGCCTCCCAAAGTGCTGGGATTACAGGTGTGAGCCATCATGCCGAGCCTCCCTCCCAGAATTTTTAATTTAGT